AAGGATTAAAAAGATCCTAAAAGAAAAGAAAAAAAGAAAAGAGAAAAGAAAAAATAAAATAGGAGAAACTTGAGGAGATGCCTAATCAAAAATTGGCTTCACTTGAATCAACTCTAGGAAAGAGCTTTATTACATTTTCTAAACTTGTATTGAAGTATTAGTAGCATTCCTAGTAAAGTTTCATGAAGTTCTTTTACATATGAATGTTCTAAATGTTCTTAATGTGACAAATTGCAATTCTTCTTGAAATGAATAGCTTGAAATAAATAGAGATTCAAAAATCTTAAATTTGATTACTAAGTATTCCTAAACTTAGAGTTTGAATCTCATTTGCTAAAGGTTTTTCTTAAATTTTGTTATTCTATTTATTAAACTAAAATATAGAAGTTATAAGTTAATCTCTATCCTACGTCATATGCTTTTATGTAATAAAAGTGTCACTTAAGGACAAGTAACATTTAAGTATGGGGGATTTTGATACACCAAAATAATTTACTATTTTAAGTACATATTTAAAGCATATTTTTGATGATATTTCACTTTAAAGCAGGGTATTTTCATGTTTTTGTTGCAGGTATATCATTTTTAGGCATTTGGAGAAAAAAATGACAAAAAGGATGAAATTTGGAGCCAAAACAATAATTTTTTGGATTTTGGCGCATGATGCTCCAGATTTGTGCATGATGCGTTGTTTAACAAAGAACTGGCGCATGATGCGCCAAATCGGTGCATGATGCGTCAGGGATGACTTTTTGTAAATTAAGGCGGTTCAAGACAAATTTTGTAAGAATTTTCAAAGGGACACTTGTTCTACACAACTATTGGAGTAATTCAATGCATCTTAACACTTTGGAAGGTTCTTTTATGAATGGATATGTCTTTTGGATCAAATGAAATGTCTTTTGAATTCAAAAGAGTTGACTTTTGGAGGGAATTTAAAATTCTTTTCAAAGGAGGCAGCCCAAAAATAAATGAGAAGACTTCAAGAGGAAGAGAGAGGGACGAGAAAGGGAGAGAGAGAAAGTTAGCGTAAGAGAAAAGCAGAGAGAAGAGGAGATTTTCTTCTAGGGTTGTAAGAGGGGAGAGAATATGAGAGATTTCTTATTTATTACACTTCTAAGACAGAATTTAGTGGGATTGTAAAGGGAGAAAGGCTTGGAGAGAACTTCTAGGGATTTGCTTGGGAAGAATTATGAGATAAGTTGTGTCTTTTATTTCGTTTGTTTTGTAAACTTATTTTTATATATGAAATCCATGTTTTGTCTTATCCTTCTCATGAATTCTAAGTAGTCTTCTTTATCCTTCTCTCTACTTTGAGATATGGTTTTGTGAAGAATTAATTTTGCTTTCTATGATTTTAAATGTTAATAATTTGTGATGATTTGAACTCCGATCTTCATTTACTATTCATTATGGCCAATTGAAATGTTAAAACTTGTTGAGAAATATATGTTCTTAAAAGGAATATGATTTCTACAACATAGGGAGAATCACATTTGATTTCATGGGAGAGTATGTCATCCATGGGATTGTGTGCAAATAAATAGAGAAATATACTTTGTTGGATGCAGAATTGGAGATTATAAGGTGATAAATTAAAACCCCCAATTTGGTTCAATTGATTGAAAACTAATGCGAGATTGTTAGCCCTCATGGGAGGGAGTAGTGAGAGCTCTGGAGTGGCAACCGATATCCTCCCAGCCTTACCACTGAATTAGTGACAAAGCTCTGGATTAGTCAATTTTCTTTATAAAACTCGAAAGAAGGTAAAGAATATGATTACTTCTATTTTGCACGAAATAACTTTTATATATTTTTTCAAATGATTTCAATTTCTTCTCAAATCATATACTCATTATAAAGGGGAAGGATGCTTTCTTAAATTTAAACTTTTCTTAAATTTGAAAGAAATTTCTGTCACAACAAAAACTTTGTTTAATTTTCGTAATTTTACTTTTGAAAGTTTAATATTTAGTTTAGTTTAACTTCTATAGTCTTATATCGGCATTTTAATTAACATTCACTTGAGCAGTTAATTTTTCAAACTTCCCACTTTACTTTTACTTTTGTTTTTGTTTTTGTTATAAAATAATTTTCACAATTTACTTTAAGATTTTTCAACTTCCCTGTGGGATCGATATTCAGGACTCCATTAGAGCCCTTTATTACTTGACTGATACATATGCTTGTGTTGATATTAAAGGGTATTTAGCAGTTTAAAAAGAATTTTAAAAGATAAATTATTTACATAAAGAGTATTTTTATTGAGAATATATTGCATATTCATTATATATCTACCGTGTGTAATTTTGTAATATTAAAAAATATTTACAAAATTCTCGCACTAAATCCACCCGCATCATCCACTTGGTTCACTTACACTTCCCCCTCTCAAATCTTGATAGGGAATATGAGGACCTTGGGGTGGTAGACTTCACACCTTTTTTGGTGGGATGACTACCTTCCTCGGCTGTCCACACACCAACCTCAGCCAGCTTCGTTGGAGCTCTGCTAGGTTCTGGTCGGGTCTTGTCATCTGTCATACCTAAGTCATTAAATGTATCATTAATAGGATTACAAAATATTCCATCCAAGAACGAAAATGCTCCCTTAACTCTAAGAATATCAGACACTGTCGACTCACGTAGATGAATTTAATGTGGTGAGAAAGGGTTAACGAGTTCTGGTGATGTTCTGTCCACTGCCACATTAAGGGTCTACTTCCAATGAACCAACATAACCCGAAGGCGAGCACTTCTTTTTCATCCCCACAAGTTTCCTCTTTCGATCTCCCTAATGGTGTCTCTTACTTTTCTCTTTGATGAACAACCAAAGCAGTAGAACATCACTTAGAACAACATACCTAGATTTTAGTGGCAGATCCATCATAAAGGCACCTTTTTCTGAAGAAAGCTCACAAAATAAAAAAAGGTAGCTCACAAAGATAACACAGAGCGAACAAAATTGGAAAGACTATCTCTTACTTATAAGTAATCATGGGCACATTATTCATGAAAGTATCAATCAATGAAGTTATTTAATAAGAAAGGTTTCTTTTAAACTTAATTCTCACGTCTTTATCTTATATAGAATTAGATAATTAAAAGATATACGATCAAAGTGTGCTGAACAAAATCTGAATACCCTAGACAAGATGTGTCGAGGAATCAATCCCAACGATCGTAAAGAGTTACAGTCGGCATAAGGCAGATGATCCAACCAACTCAATCGAGAAAGTCGATATAATAAGTTGAAAAACGGCTTGCCATCCTGGAGAGATTCTGAAGAGCACAAAGAGCTAAAGTAGACACAAAATGGGCGAGCTAGCTGACTAAACTGTCTTAGTTAATAGAATAAGCTAATGAATGGCTCGCCTGTTGGGGAGTGAGTGAAAAGATTGTCCGATGTGAAAAGATTTGACTGGAGTAATGATAATTTTGTTGGCTATCAAGACTGACTGGCAAATGACACTATCCATATTTCATAATGTGACTTCTATATACTATAAATATATGAACAATAACGTGTAAATATGACTTTTTTCAAGGAGAGAGGGTGATATCACTAATTATATACTCATGAGGTCTTTTTTTTCTTTTTTTTCTTTTTTTATTTACGCTCTATACATTGGATATAATTCACGAACAAATTTGAGTATAAGTGTATAACAGTTATAAAATATAAGTCATATGAAAACATTAAAAATTGAAATTAAAATAAAATTTATTATTTGACATCATTAATAAGAAAAACTCGTGCTAAAAAAATATTTTTAACTTAAAATGAGAAGAAACAAATTAAGCTTTTAACTTTGTAATCAATTTCTTAAATATTTGTGCAAGCATGAAATTTTTGCAAGATATACTTATATATCACTCAGTTATTTTGTATTTACATATCAAACTTCTATAATTTCAAATTGTATGCTATTTTTTATGTATTGAAAGATGTATTTAACTTTTTAAATATTAAAATAATGATATTTTTGATGAGACAAAATATTTCTGTAATATAAATTTTAAAAGTAAAATTTCCAAATACATAACAATAGTGTGGAAAGTATATAAAGACCCTAGTTTTTTCTTTTTTTTAGTAATTTCAAATATAAATTTATTTGAGCCAAATAAAATTTTATCATCCACAATAATTGTGAATGAATTTATTAAATAAATTTATTACCATCAGAACAACGGCATCTTCAAAAGAATGAATTGCGATATCAAGTTGGTAAACGTTATAGCTCTGTCTTTCTCGACGCCCCATGGCAACGCTGAAAGTCATCACTCTGCACCTACATCTCATTTTTGTGCTCTTTCGTAGCACATCCACCGCAGCCATTGCCACAAGACTCTCCTCCCAGAATATCCCTAGAACTCCCCCTCCTCTTCCAATTCTTCCTCTTCCCTCTGCTTCCCAGCTCGCTTGGCAGCAGGGAGAAATGGCCATGTTTCTCCATTTCGGCCCAAATACCTTCACAGACTCTGAGTGGGGCTCCGGCCATGCTGATCCGTCTGTCTTCTTTCCTACAAAGCTCGACTCTCGTCAGTGGCCGTCGCCCCCGCCGCCGGCTTCTCTCGCGTTGTTCTCACCGCCAAGCACCATGACGGCTTCTGTCTTTGGCCTTCCACATACACTAATTACTCTGTCCGCTCTAGCCCTTGGCGCTCCGGTGACGGTGACGTCGTTGCTGAACTTGCCGCCGCCGCTCACGAATTTGGTCTTGGCCTTGGGTTATACCTCTCACCGTGGGATCGTCACGAAGGTTGTTACGGAAAATCAATAGAATACAATGAGTATTTTTTGGGGCAAATGACGGAATTGCTTACCAGGTAGGGCACTTTCCTATTTATCTTCCAATACAATTTGTTACTTCGTGGTTATTGTTGGATTTGGTCAATTGGGAGGTTTCTTGTGATTTTTGCTAGAGAGGAGTTAGTCTAGCTGTTAAGTTTGCCTTTGTGCCAATTTGGACTTCTGAAGTATCTCTTGTATACTCATATTTGTCTTGTCCAGGCTAGTCATGTTACTAATAGCCTGAGCCCATGTCGGCAAGTTATTGGTCACGAGTCTACTCGCTATTTACCAAGCTTGAAGTTGATCAGGGCCTTGAGTCACCCCAAATTTGCATTTCGTCAAACCGTCCAAGTTGATCCATGAACTTGCCTTCTTGTCGAAGCTATAAGCCTACAGAGCTTAGTTTCTTGCCTAGAGTACCTGACAAGCCTAGTGGTTTTAGCCAAGGCTCATCTAGGGTGCTCATCTTCAACTCAAAACTTGTCAGAGTTCTTTTTTATTGGACAACTGCCTATTAATAAACTCACCCACTACATATCTGCTGCATTGAATCTCTTGATGTACTTCTTTTTTTTTTGGTAGTTTATTTTGATTAATTTCTTATGCGAATAAGAGATCGTTGAGATTGTAAAGATTGTAAGGTCATTCCAAGTGACGATTTAAGTACCCAACATCGATTATTGGTTCTATATTTTAAGATGAAGAGTTGTAAAATAAAGAATACTATGACTCATCATCATAAAATTAGATGGGGGAACCTAAACAACACAAATAAAATTATTTTTATGAGTAAAATTCAAGATTTCAAAATTTGGGATTCAAAATTTGGGATGTTCATGAAAAAGCAAATGCTATGTGGGATAATGTAACAAACACTATTAAACAAGTAGTATAAGATGTACTTGGAGAATCAAAAGAGAAAAAATTTGAAAATAAAAATTGTTTGTGTTGGAATAATAATGTGCAAGAAAATACAAAATATAAGAATTTATGTTATAAATTATAAAAATTGGTTTAAATATAAAACTTAGAGAATTGGGAAAATTCAAACGACCTAAATTCAAACTACCTGCAGGAAGAATAATCCGTGACGCTAAAAATTCTGCATTTAGTGATCTTTATAATAGATTAGATACTAAGGAGAGTGAAAAATATATGCATAAACCAGCCAAACAAAGAGAAAAGAAAAGTAACGATTTAACTCAAGTAAAATGTATTAAAAATAATAAAAAAAATCTTAAGAAAAGATATTCAACATAGGTGGGTGGGTTATTTCGATGAACTTTTTAATGAAGTTTCTGAAAATACGATCAACCTTAGTGATTTTAATTTGTGATCTTAATATCGTGAATAATAATAAAACATTTCATTTTTACCGTCGCATTAGTATAAATGAAATTGAGGGTGCTCTAAAGAAAACTAAGACTGGAAAGTCTGTAGGATCTGATGATATCCCAATGGAAGTGTGGAAATATTTAGGAGATTTGGGAGTTTCTTGGCTTACTAAACTCTTTAATATTATTTTAAAAACTAAAAAGATTCCTGAGTAGTGGAGGAAGAGTATTTTGGTCCCTATTTTTAAGAATAAAAGGGATGCTCAAGAGTGCAAATTATAGAGGAATTAAGTTGATGTAGCATACTTTAAAATTAAGGGAGAGGATAACTGAACATAGGTTATGACATTTTACAAAGATTTCTCATAATCAATTTGGATTTATGTTGGGCAGGTCTATTATGGAAGCTATACATTATTGAGAGGTTTGATGGAGATGTTCAGTGATAATAAGGAAGATCTACATTTGATTTTTATTGATTTAAAAAAAGCTTACGATAAGGTTCCAGGAGAGACATCCTTTGGAGAGTTTAGAGTTTATGAGAAAAAATATGTTGATATGACTTCTATTCAAGCCACTAAGGATATGTATACTAGACATGTTACTTGTGTTCGAACTTAAGCTTAATTGATCAAATAATTTTCTTTTGCTGATGATATCCTTCTCGTGGATAAGACGAGAGAAAAAGCCAGGAAAAACTTGAATTATGGAGGTCTACATTGGATGGTCTTATTGGACATTTACAAGAGGATGTACCTTTATGTATGTTTTTTGCTGATTGTATCCTTCTTGTGGATAAAATGAGAGAAAAATCCCAAAAAAACTTGAATTATTGAGGTCTACATTGGAGTCTAAAAGTCTTCATTTGAGTAGAACTAAAACTGAATACATAGAATGTAATTTTAGTACTAATAGCTCTAGTGACAGAAGTGTAATTTTGGGTGATCAAATTATTAAAAGGTGTGATCGATTTAGATATCTCGGGTCTGTTTTTCAAAGCGATGGGGATGTTAATAGTAGAATTCAAGTTGGTTGGTTGAAGTGGAGGAATGCTTCTAGTCTTTTGTGTGATAGAAAATACTACTTAGACTGAAAGAAAAAAATTATATGATGGTGGTGAGACGCTAAAAATTCAGCTTTTAATGATTATAATAGATTAGATATTAAGGAGGGTGAAAAACATATGTATAAACTAGTCAAACAAAGAGAAAAGAAAAGTAAAGATTTAACTCAAGTGTATTAATAATAAAAAGCAAAAAGTGTTTTTTTTAGAAAAAGATATCAAAATAGTGGGTGAGTTATTTTGATAAATTTTTTAATGAAGTTTCGAAAAATATGATCGACCTTAGTGATCTTATTATCATGAATAATAATAAAAAGTTTCATTTTTGCCGTCGCATTAGTAAAAAAGAAGTTGAGGAGGCTTTAAAGAAAACTAAGGGTGGAAAGTCTGTAGGACCTGATGATATCCCAATT